TCTTTGGTATAGGATCGTAAATTTTTTATTATATATTTATATGATGGTTACACAAATAATTGTGAAACATTTTTAGTAGATATATTTTTTAATAAGTTGACCCTCTCGTAATTTTACTAACCCCTAGATACTATCAAGATTTATTTGTGTAATATTATGCCTCACTGAACACCCTGTCATACTTCTAATACCCTGATTAGTCTTGGTGCAATATGATTTACAGGGTTACAACCCCAAAAACGAGCAGAGTTTACTGTAAGTTGGGTACAGATGTCTAGGTAATTATTCAATTCTGTATATAGTGGGATTTGAACCCTAGACCTCTTGCATGGCGATTCGGCAATCTAACTACTATACTAAGATCACCAGACCTAGAGAATCTGTATATTAGAAATCCTAAGTTTGATAAAGTAGTATAGATTTTAATAGTTAAGCTAGTTAATACTTGAACTAATAAAAAACCTGAATATGAAAGATGTAGATTGAGTAGGTATAAGTAAGTTTGCTATATAATACAGCCTAGTATCTTGTATTAGTAGTAATACTAACTTAGCTTAGCAGCTAACTAGATTAAAAAGATCTACTTCATAAAACATCTAGCTAGAACTTGGAGGACTATTTTTGGTGAAAAGCTATAGTAGGAACTAGGTTTGTATAAACATCAACAAGAGTCTAATTCAAATAAATCTGTAAAATAAGTACATGATCACTCTGGTAGGAATTACTTCTGAGATTAACTAGAGCTCTACATATTCATAATATATTAAGCAATACATATTCTGAAAAGATTTAAGCTATATAATAAATAGATTTGCATATAAGTTAGCTAGCTTAAATAGTTAGATATAGTAGTAACATTAGTTTGAGATGAGAAGAAAAGTTAATGATCAGAGTGTTTAAATAAGTAACTCATAGACAGGATGCAGGTATAGCAGTATAGTATAGAACTAATAGATAATCGATCATTTGTATAACAAACTACTTAAATTAGATAATAACTAAAATTGTATATGTAGCTTGTTGTATACTCATTATGTAACTATAAAACCTTAAGAAACTATTTATATGATAGTTCTGTAATAACAAATTAATAAAATCTAATCAGCTAAGGAAATGGCCTTAATAACAAAAAAAAACTTATTCATATTACTATCAGTACTTTATATGAGTAACAAATATAAAAATATATTAAGATTTACACATACTCATTTCTGACTACATAAAGTTAGACTCGAGAGTAAAAACTTTTTACAAAATATCTAATACTAAAGAAACTAAAACTATTTTTTTTAACAGAACTCAGGCTTTAGCCCTAGTTCCAAAGAAACGTAAACTTTAGTACCTAGAAAATATAAGAAACAAAAAAATTATACTTCACAAAAGCTTATAAGCAAGTAATAGCAACAAAGAAAATCTATACTCTACTACAAGTATTAGCAAAAAAGATTTGAGTATTAACTACTCTAAACAAAAGAAACCACTAACTAACTCCTCTAACGGGGATGAACAACTAGTCAAGAACTTGGAAAAAAAAAAACTAACATGTCTCAAGAAACAGAGAAAAACAAGAATAATGAAAACAAAACAACAGATGAAAGAATACGTGATATTATGCAAAATAATGCTAACATGACCAAAACAACAGACACACATATCAAATCAACAAATAAATCTCTTTTAGAAACACCTACAAGTACTCTGAGTTTGTAAGAGACCTCCAAAAAATCCTGGTCTAGCCTGTTTGCTAAGGTTAAAAGAGACCAATTTACTTTTACCTCTTATTCTCCGAGAAGCACTATTAGATCTAAAAATGATAATGCTTTAGTGCTGGATATTAACAGTCTAAAAAACTACTTTTTAAATAATATTATGATATCTCTTTATGATAATGTGGGAAGTGATATAGTAGTAGCAAAACTACATATTAACAGAGGAGTTTGTACTTACTTAGAAATTATCTTTGCAAACAAAGAAAAATTATAAGAGTATACAGTTAAAGAAGTAGATATCTTTAACAAAATATATCTTAGCTCTATTCTTACAGATAATAGAAGGTCTTTTCTTCCAGTCAAAATTAGAAATGTTCCTCTACAAGAAAAAAACTTAGTCTCTGAAGCTATCAAAGAGGCCTTCGAAGATATGGAGAAAATTGCTTTGATCAAACTACTCTTAATAGAAGGAACCCCTTATCTAACTGACTAATAGGTTATTATTTTCAATACTACAAATGACCCAGACCTAGAAAAAAGAATTTCTCATTTTTACATTCTGTTAGAAAGCAAAATCACTACAGAATGGAAATCAGCTTCAAAGGTTTGCTTTTTCTGTGACAAAGAAGGCTATGTTAAAAGAAATTGCGAACAACATCAAGAAGCTTTAGCACTCTGTCATCATTTTAAGGAGTACTAAAGAATAAAAACAAAGAAAAAACTTCAGAACTTATCTCTAACTTATTAGTTGAAGAAACTACATCAGTTTCTTTATCTTCAACTCAAGGAATGAGTATAGATGAACAACTAAAAACTCTATTACAGAAGAGCAACAAGATACTTCCAGGACTAATAAAAATAATAACACTCATAGCAGTGAATTAAAAAGAACAGAGGATATGATTCTAAATACTGAAAATTCGAATATGAGAAAAAATTCAGAAACTCAAAATGTAGACTTAACAAGCAATTCTACTTCTAACAAAGAAACAGCACAAAAGGCAACTTCTCCTATAGTTATTATTGATAACAATAACCATGAATTACAGGAACTTGACCATTCAGAAGGAGAATACATAACTGCTACAAATAAAAAGAAAAAAGATAAAAAGAAAGTATCTATACAAAAACAAGAAGAAACCAGAACTGCTCCTTACAAGAAAAAAACTCGTAATGAGAGCCAAAGTGTGCAGATCTAAAATTTTACCTCAAATCAACTCTTATGCTTAAAAACTCAAAGATAAAAATTGGAACTCTAAACATTAAAGGACTGAACAATCAACAGAAACAAAGAAATACTTTTACTCTTCTTAAATCTTATAATCCAGATATTATAATGCTTCAAGAGACAAATCTCAATAACAAAAATACACAAACCTTTTTATGAACTTTTGACTCAATATGGTCAAACAAGACAGCTATATTAGCAGGCAATAAGAATATAACTTTTCAAAGCTCCAAAGTAGAAGCAAACAGCAGAGTTATGATTATAAACTTCAGCTACAAAGATTTATCTTTTTAGCTTACAAATATCTATGCACCTTCTAGTCAAAATGAATGATCAATTTTTTTTAACAACTGGTCTCTGCAAGTGAAAGATAATATAATAAATATTATCGCAGAAGACTTTAATACTAATTTATACTCTGAACATAATAGAATTAGTGAGTTGTTAGCACAGCATGATCCAACTAGAGCTCAACTTAAAGACCTTACAAAAAACTTCATTGACTCTTCAGAGCTTGCAACTAACAAGCTATTCCATACTTTCTTTCAAAAAACAAGAGAAAACAGAATGATAGCAACTCACTTAAACTATATTTTTATAAATGAAAACTATGCTCACTCTATTCATGAGACCAATACTAAATTTGGTAACTCTGACTACCTTCTAGTGGAATGCACATTAAAGTTTACATCAAACACAAACAAGTCTCTTTTGTAGAAATTTGATAAAAACTGCTTCTATAACAAGAAACTAAAAAAAGAAATAATAAAAGAAATACAAGAAAATAAGAATGCAGACAACTGGAATTTATGCAAAATATATATCCAATCAATTATTAAGGCTTTCAAAAAGCTAAAGCCTCTAGAAAGCAAAATATTAACACTTAATAAACAAATTACTCAGATAAACAAAAAACTCACTAAAAACTTTGCAAATATACACCTGTCTGCTTAAGCAGATAATCTTAACACCAAATTGCAGGAAGAACTTATCCTTTTAGCAGAAAAATAGCAACTCCACTTCAAAACAAAATGGATAGAGCAAGAAGAAAAATCAACTAAATATTTCTTTTCAAAATATAAATCTAGAAAATCTCACTCGGCTCTTAGTGAAATCAAAAATCCTGCAAATACAACTCAGAACAAGGATAGTACTCTTTCCTATATTAGAGAAGAATACTCAAAAATCTATAAAACAGAAGAGATTAACTTAGCTGCTGTAAATAAAATTATTAAAGAAGCTCTACAAATTACAGGATCACAGAACTCTTTGCTAACACAAGAAATCTCTCTTAAAGAAGTAAGGAATATGATTAGAAGCCTCCTGAACAATAAGTCTCCTAGCTTTGATAGTCTTACTTACGAGTTCTATAAGCTTACAGAGAAAGTAATTACTTCTCTATTACATAATCTTTTTAATCAAGTACTTCTCTCAGGTTTTTTACCCAAATCATGGTGTAAAAATCTAATTACACTTATTCCAAAAAAATCTTTAGATTTGGAAAATCTAAACAATTAGAGACTAATTTCTTTAGTAAACAGTGATGCTAAAATTTTTATGAAAATTTTAGCAAACAGACTAAATGCAATATGCCAAGAAGTAATCTCTCCACAGCAACAAGGTTTTGTTAAAAATAGATCAATATCAGATACTGCAATAGACATTATAACAACTCTAAGAAGTCAACAAGACAATACTAAACAATATTAGATGCTCTTCTTGGATCAACAAAAAGTATTCAATTACATAAGTTATGAGTTTCTAGAACTAGTATTAGAGAAAATTAACTTTGATAAAAAGTTTATCTCAATAGTCAAAAACCTTTTCACAAGTCAAGAAGCCCACATTCTTGAAACAGAGGAACTATCAAAAGCTTTTAGAATAGAAAGAGAAGTAAAATAAGAAGATCTACTCTCACCTTTCATATATATACTTGCTTTCGAACCTTTGCTATTTAACTTAAAAAATAATCTACAGAGTATTAAACTAGATAATCAGTCTTTCAAACTTATAGCCTATGCAGATGACCTTACAATAGGAATTAGCTCTCTCTCAAACTGGGAATATACTTTTAAACTTCTAGAAACTTATAAACAGGCTTCTAATGCAAAAATCAACAAAACTAAAACAAAACTTGCTCCTCTTACATCAATAGCATTCAGAGTAGAATTACTACAGTCAGACTAACTATATATAGTTAAAGAGAATAAACTTATTATACCACTGAATTATAGTATTTACTCAAATGGTCTTCCAAAAAAGGATCTTTAGTCATCTACTATAAGTAATCTTAAGGCTTCACTCGATAAACTTGTGAATAGAAATTTATCTTTTAAAGAGAAAATTCTGCTTGCCAAATCTCTTATACTCTCAAAAATCTAGTATATAGCATACCTTCTCTCACCAAACAGGAAGCAGGTAGCAAAAATAAATAGACTAATTTCTTTATGGATTAAAAGTAACTCTCGTATGCTTCCAAGATACTCAGTCTTTCAACAATCATATGAGCAACTTGGTCTACAGGCTCCTATAATTAAAGATATACTAGATACACAGCTAATAATAGTCTGGCTTAAACTACTCTCATCTGAGCACTTTTGGGCTAAGTATGAAAGAGACAAAATTAGTTCAATTCTCAGAGATAAGAGAGATATTTTACTCTTACAAGTACTAACAACTGACAACATTTGGTCTAAAGCTTAACCTACAGAGTAGAAACCTTTTCTTTTAGTCTGGAAAAGAGTAGAAAGAAAAATCTTAGCTAGTACAAACTAACCTTGGAACAAAGAAGAAATTAAGCTAAGTGATTGTAAAGGATATAAAATTACAGTAAACAAAGTTCTGTGAATATTTCAGAAAATAGAATCTACATCCTCTCGAGAATACACAATACTAGACCTACTAGTATCAAATTGGCTATCTACAAAAACAATCATAAACAAAAAAAAAGATATATATTGGCATCTCTACTATAGGTTCCTTCCTCTTGATTATAGACTCAAATATATAGAATCACTAGAAGCAGAATTCTGCCTTTAGTGTACTGAGAAACCCCAAATACTAGAACACTTCACTATAGACTGCAGCTTAAGTAAAAAAATTTGAGAAGCGATATATAGATTTCTTAATACTAATGAATTAATCAACTACCCTTCAACTCTTAAAGAAATATTCTCTAGATCAAGTCCACAAAACTTTTCATAAAAACAAGCGCTGAACTAGCTTCATATCACAACAATTTATGAACTTTGGTACTGCTTTGCCTCATTTAAATAGGGTAACACTACTTTTCCTATTTCTACACTTTTAACAATTATTAAAAACCAGGTTTCTAAAGAAATTCAAAGTCTTCACAAAATGTATAAAACAAATAGATCATTAGAGAAAAAAACTTTATGTAAATACTTAAAATATTCCTTATAAATTACTATTTAATTGTAAATAAAGAGCGCCAACTGCGCTCCTAGCTTTATAAAGCTCGGGTAATAAAAAAAAAAAAAAAACAAATACAAAAACTAAAAAAATAAATAAAAACTATAATAAATATACTATATAAAAACTAAATCAAATAATAAAACTAAAAATAAAATAAATAAAAAAAAAAATAATAGAAAATTATAGACATGACAATATTACAATTTTCTTTGATCTTTAAATATACAAGTAGGAGATAAAAATTTATTTAATTTTGACTAAAAATATGCGATTACTAATATATTCAATTGTTAATTTTTGCCAAATTACAATATTTGGATATTTATTATATGATTGCTAACCAATTGAATTGCTAAATTTGCGTCTAATAAGATTGACATTTGTGTACCATCAAAAAATCCGCATTTAATAAATTTGTGAATTTGTAGATGTGGTACACCCTACTAAATTACGTTTATCTGAAGTGGATCGCAAACAACAGCATAAAGTGACTAATATCATTATTCCAGATAAATACCATATAGTATCAGATGATGTCATATTTATGTCAAATGCTACAATTTGATTGATTAATTTGATTAATAAGGATAATTCAATATCCGGGTAGTCTTTTAAAGGAAATTTCTCAATCATAATAATTATAAAATGACTAATATTCTCGAAAAACAATCAAAAGAACCAGTTTCCGGAAATTTCGACATATCTGAAGAATTCACTGTTGAAAGTATGGGTAAAAATGAGAATGAACAAACTACGTCACAAAATGTTAATAAGTTGGATTGCGAAGATTCCAGTTCTGAATTAATTGTATCCCAAAAAGATCATGATCCGGATTTTTTTATTACACCTATTTTAAACACGATTCAAAGTGGTTCACCAGAGGTGCCACAATCAGGTTCATACACAATTAGTGAAAATATCTGTTTTCATTTGTATCAATGTTATTTACACTCCAAGTTCTGTGACATTGAACTTCGTGTACCCTATGTCCAAGATAATTCTATCAAAGTTCATGCAATTATTGTATCACGTTCTCCACACTTGAAGAAATTGATCGAGACCGATGGACCTATAATCGTGATGGACGTTAAAGATTCCAACATTAATCAAGAATCATTGTACATTTGTGTTGGTCATCTTTACACTCCCCACTATAACTGTATCACTCCTTCCAATGTGCGTTATGTATTAGCCACTGCTTATCATTTTGAACTAAGAGATTTGTGTGATTTTGCACGAGATTTTATAAAGAATATCTTGAATCCATATAACGTTTTAGTTATTGGTCAATGGATAGAAAACAGTATTATATATGGTGAATATTCTGATGAAATTAAAAATTATATTTTCGATTATTTGGCAGTAAACCTGCCTAAGGAATTACAAGTTTTCCCGGAAAAAAGCATATATCAAATTATGAAAGATGGTATTGGAGATATTGATCATTCATTTCCTAATTCTGGATATAATAAACTTGTGGAAATTTATGCACTCTTACCATTTAACTGGTTCAAGCGTGTCGTGGAATCTGACAAGTTCACCTGTCCAACTGATCTTGATAGATTTCAATTTGCTCGAAAAGTTGTTAATGCTCGTGCGAAAAGATATGCATCAGAAAATCGACCTATGCAATATGAAGCCGTATTTATGTGCTTTGGTTCGAAATGTTCCATTTTAGTAACTAACGAGAAGTCTTGATCATATTGTGGTAGGTATTTTTTGGTACTGTATCATTCGTTTTAAAACATTGTTATTTATTTATATTGATTGAAGCCAATTAATTCTTCTTTCTTATTTTGATATTGCTCCTTGAAAGAACCTAATTGTAATGCAAAAAGTGCTCACTTTAAACTCATGAATTCTAGAACTCAGAATCATAATATATTTGTAAATAGATAAAAGAATTAATATATTTTTAGATCTTTTAATTAGTGCATATACCAATATGTTAAGCTATGTTAAGCTTCATGTAATAATCTTTTTTATAATTCAATATTACAGATTGCTATTATACTTGTTTTTTTATATATTAAGTGAGATCGGGGTATTATGATGAAACTAAGCCTGCCCTCCAATGTAAATTTTTAAAATTTAAAACTACTGATATTATTTGGTCGCAAATTATGTGTCTAGAACAATTGCAATTAATAAGATCTCTAAGGTTTTTTAGCAGACAAGCGAAAATGATAACAAATTAAAGCCTAACATTTCGCCAGATCTTATCTTTCATAAATTTATTCACTTACTCTTTTCTACTGCTGTTGTAATCTTGAAGAACTTATATAAAACTACTATACTCGAATACAAAATTTTTGGTCAGGTATAACGTAAAAATCAATAAGTCCTTTGGTACAGCAATGGCGAAAAAAGTGTCGATAAATTGAGATTCCAAACCTTCGATCCAGTAATACAATTTTAATAAATTTTATTTTTTTTTACTAGGCTTTATGAAAAAAAAAGAAACTTATTACTAGATCGCTCATAAAATCTAAGGGTCATTAAGACCCTATATCTTCATAACCACTTATTCAAAGTCAATGAAAAATTTTTTATATCAATTCTATGAAATAAAAAAAAAATTTTCATTAATTTTTAATAAGTTGATATTAAGATCTCACGTTTTGCTAGTCGCATAAATTTTTTCCAAACTTTGAGCGAATATATCTCGATAATCTCTCATTCAAATCGATGAAAATTTTTTTATTTCAATTCTAATGAATTCGTAAAATTAAAATAAAATTTTTTTAACGATTTTGAATAAGTGGATATCGAGATATCTTCGTTCAACGATAGAATCGTCCCAATGATTGTCAATTGATAAGCTTTAGCCGGGATGATTCTACTGCATCACTAGTTCAAGGTTTAGAAAGCAGTTAATAAAGCAGACTTAGTGATCATAAATCCCTTACTTCGCACGTCTTTCTTCGAAAGTGTATTTCATGCATTACATTGTACAGGTTCCAATTCGATGTGTACTACATATGATGAAGAAATTTTTTCTTTTCATTTTTCTGAGATGGCCCGTCCCACAAATTTTAATAATAACATGAATTTAACTTCGATGTCTGCATGATTAAAAAGTTTTGAATAAATGTGCTTTTTATATAAAACAATAGTAAACCTTCAATCAAAAATCGATTTGTTAAAAGATTAAATTCGAAGCTCTTGGCTGAAATTACTGAGCTTAGAGAGGAGAATGCTGAAATTCTTGAACTTAAAAAGGAGAATGCCAAGTTAAAACAGATGATAGAAGAGAATGCCAGACGCGAGTAGGGTTGGGGGCACGGAAAATTTTTTGGGCATGCCTAGGAGGGCATGCCTTTGTCGAGGGCATGCCTCTCTGTGCCCCGGGCATGCTCTCTCGAGATATCATAATCAGGGATGGCACGTTACAATGTCCAATTGGTTTTAATTTTTTTTTGGACATATGCCCCAAAAAAATTAAAACCAATTGGACATTGTAACGTGCCATCCTTGATCATGATTAATCTAACTTATATCAAATCAACTATGATAAATGACCAATCAAATCAACGAAACTTTATACGTAAGGTTTTTCTATATAAAAGAGTAGGGGCATGCCTTTTAGCCAAAGGGCGTGCCCTAGGCATGCCTCCTTGGGCATGCCCCTGGGGCATGTCTTGGGACACCGTGCCCCCAACCCTAGACGCGAGGCTGAGAACATGGAGCTCAAAGCCAAAGTAGCTAAATTGGAATGTGATATAGAAGAAATAAAAAAGCGATCCCAATCCATTACTAATACACAGGACAACCATAGTTGTCAAATACTCGATTCATCCTTAGAATATTCAGAATCACAAGTAACTTCTTTATATATTGGAGGCCACACTGATAAAGAGACTTTGACTCACTGCGAAACAAATGACTCTGTAACAACTAACATTACATCTGTAACTTCCAAGCAGATGCCTCAAAGAGGCACCCCTAAAGGGCTAGAAAATACACCTAATTCTGACATATATCAACCTACCAGCATGAAGCCTAAATCATCGGAAGACAAAGCAATTGATGAATTCCTGGATTTAAAGCATAAAGAAAAGGTAAGTAATGAAATAAGAGAAAGAAATCGGGAAAAGAGGCTTTGAACTCAAGACTTATCTTTGGTTAGCTATAAGAAAAAGGGAACAGATAAACTCCGACAAGAATTGTTCAATACTTATTTAGAGCTGAGTTCACAAGAGCACTCAATATCAAAAAATATTAAGCCAGAACAGATCGAAATTCTGAGACGGCCCGTCTCGAAAAATTTGAGGGCATAGATGGTTCTGCAAAATGTATTGTTAATTCATTCAACATTAAGGAGGTATCGCAACATTTAGCTCAGTTATGCGATAAAACAATGGGCGCAGAAGATCAAGCTTCGAAGGCTAATTACGAAGAAATCATATGCTGGTCTCTTTATGGTGGGGATTTTGAATTTCAAGTTAGTGAGATGAGTAGTAAAAATAAAATTGACGAGAAAAAAGCAAGAACCTTAATTTATAATGAAATTGAAAATCAACTCTCTATTCTCCATAAAAAACGATCACAAGATTTAGGCTTACAACTTCCAAAAATATCACGAGATACCTTGCGCAAGAAAACTCAAAAGAGCTGTAAAAATTTATAAGTTATTCGAAAAGATAGGTCTAGATAAAATTAAACATATTAAGTACTATAGTGCAAATTCTATCTCAGAACTTACTAACGACCAAATTCAAGATTATTAATTATGGATCAGAGATCCGAATCTCTAATTCTCCTTCGCTTGAAATCACATCTGAAGATAATATAATTGAAATTTCTGGGACGGCCTGTCTCGAAAAAATCTCAACTCATATCGAGGTAAGTGATTTGGTATCATCGTGTCAGCTTATGACAAAAGCCAAGGTAAGTATACATCCCGTCTCTGTCAGTTCGAAAACCGAGGTGAGTAAAGAGGCCAAGAAAACTTTACTAGAAACTGAGGTAAGTAAATCTGTTACGACACCTATCCCTTCGTCTATATCCCCCCAAGTTTTAGATTCTTCAGATGACTCGCTCGAAACTGAGGTAAGTAACACATCCACTCTATCTATCTCAGAAACGATTCTAGAGGAATCAACTGAGATACAAACAAGTGTATTCAATGATTCTTTAGATTCTAACTCGGAATCTTCTGATGACATTGAGGAGGATGTGGACGATGCTGATAAAGAAAGTTAATAATGGAAATTCCTCTGTTAGTGATGATAACGATGTTGATAAAAGGATCTTGTAAATTAATTCTTTACCGAAAACAAATCCAAAGGATTCAACTAAGGTAAATACTCCATCCAATCTGGCTCATAACCGCGCCTATTTCCATAAAAAAATAGAAGAACAATATCTTGATTTATATTGGGAAGGTAGAGATGGAAACGATAATTATTATAGGATTACGAATGAATCTTTATACCTGTTATACAAGGCAAATTATTATAAGAATAAAAGTATAGAAGACAGATATAAAAATGAATCCTATTTTATTAGATGTGAACAGCATGGAATTAAAATCGAGATAACAGCATAAACCTTATCTTATGCTAATATAATTCACTTAAGTGTTTAAAGTTTCTCTGATGTAAATTATTTTTTGTTGATTATTCCCGCTATTAATTTAAAGGGATAGAATCATATAAAACAGAGCATAGATACACAAACAAATACCAATAAAACATTAACTTCTAAATATTTGGAGTGGAAAGCCAAATTAGAATTACCAAGCATTTTGTCAGATAAGGTTCTATAATAGATATAAGAATAAAACCAAACTCGATTCTTGGATAAACTCTGAGTCTTCTCAAATTCAAAAGGATACCAATAATAATATCTCATAAGACTATATTATCAAGATTTCTAAATTTTCAAAAAGGAAAAATGTAATTATTGAAGCAGTACAGAAAAGATTCTCTTTCTTGACATATACTTATAGGTGGGGTGAAATTTATTTCAATTTTTTTAATTTCAACAATAATTTCAACAATAATTTCGATAATTTTAATATTTCTACAAATTAAATTTAAAACAATTATTGTATTTGATTTGGCTTAGGTTTAATTAATTTTTGCTATAATTTAAATTAATTTTTAATATTAAAAAAATAATTTTACCAATTTCATCATCAAATAATTTCAACAATTTCAACAAAACTTTTTATTAAGGAGAATAATTTCACCCCCATCTATATATATACTAAATTGAATATATAGTACTGAGATATTTTTAAATATACTAAAGTTATATCAACATCTACCTAACTATTCTAATTCTACATATTTGTAGAATTCGAACAAAAAAAATTTTCATCGAATTTAGTTTGGTATTTACTGAGATATATTTAATCAAAGTCAGTAAACAGTTAAAAATATCTATCAAAATTGAAGTAATTCAAAGTTTTAAAACTTTGAACAAAAATATCTTGACATCTATCTGACCAAAATTCATCGAAATTGATCAGATAGGTGTCAAGATATCTTTATTCAAAGTTAGTAAACAATTCAAAACATTTATCAAAAATTAATACTACACTAAAATTTTTTTAAAACTTTGAATAAAGATATCTCAACACCTACCTAACAAAATTCGATCAAGTTTTTTTTATATGAATTCTACAGATCTGTAGAATTAAAATAAAATAAAATTTATCAAATTTTGTTAGGTAGGTGCTGAGATATCTTTGTTTAAAGTTTTAAAAAAATTTTAGTGCAGTATCAATTGTTAATAGACGTTTTGAATTGTTTACTAACTTTAAGCAAAGATATCTCAACATCTACTTAATCAATTTTGATAAAAATTTTTTTGTAATAAAAAATTCATAGAATTTATCAGGTAAGTGTCGAGATATCTTTGTTCAAAGTTTTAAAACATTAGATTACTTTAATTTTGATAAATGTTTTTAACTGTTTACTGACTTTGATCAAATATATTTTAGCAACTACCAAACCAAATTTAATGAAATTTTTTTTGTTCAAATTCTACAAATATTTAGAATTAGAATAAAAAAATTTTCATTGAATTTGGTCAGGTAGATATCAATATATCTTTGTTCAAAGTTTTAAAAAATTGTAATTTTACAAGGAAGTATAGTTAACAAATTTGGGGTATGTATAATAGTTGTCTTTCTTAATTATCTTTTTTGTATTGATTAAAAAAAATTATAATTGCTATATAGAGTTTATTAGAAATTCAAATAAATATACTATTAAAATCTCAAAATTTGAAGATATTTAAAGCTTAGTATAAATATAAAAGTTGAGTATCAGATTAATACATATTGAATTTTTAGCTTATAGCCTATTCTATTATGTTATTACCTAACAAAGTTTTCAATTTGAGGCAAGGTTTTTTTTGTTAGTTAGCTTTAGAGCTTTTAGATAGTAACAATTTTTTTTTTTAGATTATTAGGACTATTTGATATATAAGAAGATTTGGATTACTAAATCTAACTATACAGAAATAAAAGACTAACTATAGTATGCTATATATAGATACTATTTGGGTAACTAGGTGAGTTTTAGCTAAATAGTTAGACACATCAGAATGTAAAAAGTTTGTTTTACAAACTGTTTGAATAAAGTTGAAGCATAGTTACTGAATTTAAAAAAAAAAATTCTTAGCTTATACTGTTTACTATATAAAGAAAATTATATAAATTTAGATAGTAAGTAGTAGTTAGATAATTAAGATATATTATTATAATATCAAAAATCTAAAGATTCTACTTGAAGAGATACTAAAAGCTTATTTTGAAAATTCAAAATTAATTTAGAAGTAAAAAGTTTAATACTATATATTACTTATTTTTTAGAATAATATTTTTAAATTTTTAGATAAAAGTATAGTAGTAGAAGTATAATTATAAATAGATCTTTACAAATAAGTATTATAATTAATTTATTTATTTATTTATATAATTATATTAAAATAAAAAATAGTAAGCTAAGGTCTAGTGACCTAGTATAGTGGTTAGGTTGTCAGACTACTATGCAATAAGTCTGGAGTTCAAATTCTACTATCAATGAATTTGAATAATTTCTTAGATCTTGTGATATATTACGATAAACTCTGTTCATTTCTGGGCATGTATTCCTGTAAATTGAGTTGTACCAAATCGATCAGAACTTAGAAATATAGTATAATATTACATGAATAAATTTTGATAGAATATATAGGCAGAGGATCTGTATAGTAAAAATCCTGATAATGATCCTACAGACCGGACCAAACTGAACTTTAAAGTAAGTTCGAGTTCGGTTCGAAAAGTGAACTGAACTCGAACCTGAACCTTTTTTAAAACCATGTTCGGTCTGAGTTCGATTTCAAACTTTTTAGGAGTCCAGTTCAGTCCGAAGTTTGGTTCAAAAGTTTATGAACATGTTCAGGTTTGAATATCTATTATATGAAATTTACTTAGACATCCAAAAAATTGATAATATAATTTGTATTGACCAATGAAATTGGCCTATACTCTTCATGCAATAAAGTGTTCACTCAGAATTCTCTCTCTAATCCAGCTCAAAATTATCAATATTAACCAACTAATTAACTTTAAAAACTCAATTAAAATCTCTGAACTAAACTTTGAACTAGATGTTGATTTGTCATAA